AAGATGCATACCTTGAAGACCTGGAGATGCAGCATTGCGGACTCGGGCGGGCACCGGCCTACTTCTTTAGCAAGGTGAAAGTTCCAGATCGCAGCAGCGGAGAATCTTGCATTTAGAGATGTCCAGATCATGTCTAGAATACGCGGGAGAGCGAAAAGACCGCCAGGGCCAAGATTGGATGGAAGCAAACGAGACGGAGGACGGATCATTGGAAACACGGGAGCCCTAGTGGGAGTTCAGGGATTCTTACCCCGCTCCCAGCGTATCCCGTCAGGAGCATCTGATTGGGAAGGAGGAGGAAGAGGCTGGAGCCCACGTCGACACTAAAATTCATCATCCTTGAGCCCTTCAAGATTTGCTTTTTTGAATTCTTATTTTCTCTGGTGTGCCAAGGTCAATGATTGCATACCAAAAATGTGTGTTTCAAGTTGTAGTCTTGCTCACGGTCACCAGATACCAGGTAGTCCAGACCCCGCTCCCTCACTGGCCTTGTCCACCCGCTTGGCCTACCTGGACACTGCAGCGACGCCAGGTTAACCTGGCGAGAACAACCGAGACGGCAGGCTATATGGAACGTATGGAACGTATGTCGCCGCCACCAGCATAGTCGCTCCCTGTCTTGATTGTTGGAAGACAGGATTCGAAGGTGCGATTTGTGGCTGATGGATGCGCTGGAATTGAACTTCGATTATGGTATGGCCGCAACAACCCAAAGTGGTCTGTAGACAATAGATAGCGTGGAATGACATGCGCGGGATACAACGTAGTCGGTTGGTGAGAGAGAACGGAACAAATGGAGAGGAAGTCGAAGTAGTATAGGTGCCTTGTATATGAGTACAAGGATGAGTAGGTAGGCGTCAAAGGCCAGACGCACCACCCCTCCTCCTCTCTCATCCTTTTCCCTCCCCTCCCCCTCCCCCTCCCCCTCCCCCTCCACTTCCCCTCCATAGGTCATAACGGGGCGTAGGGTCTCTGCCGTTCTTTTTTAGAAAATTCATTCGGAATTTCGACCGATCAAAGAGGGGAAATCGCTGCTGGCAATGGGGCTCGGGGTCTGTACGGTACACTGTTTTTGTCAAAGCGAAACCACTCGATCTAAGACTGGCTTCGAGCGAGATAGGAGGGGAATTACTTCTTTTGGCATCATGAGACCATGCAATGATGTGCAGAAACCATCTCATATCCGTCTTCTTGGTGAACTATCAATTGCTAGGTAGAACGTGAGTGAGGGAATGAGTGAGCAGGGGAGGTAATCATTGACTTTATCCACGCTTGCTTAGAAGAAAAAGCAAACACGAGTCGGAGCTCGCGGGATTGGTGAAATGGAAGCTGCTTGGCCATGGAGTGGATTCGGATCTCCCCTCAGCAGTAGTCAGTCTTGTCTGGTCTTGTCAGTCAGTCAGTCAGTCAGTCACTTGCCGTTGATTCGTCTTCTTTCGCCTTGCACTTTCGCAGTTGCTGGTCTTTCTCCTGCACTTCTTTTCTTACCATTCCGTTTCTCTCTGCATGTTCGTCTCGTTTCTATTTTTCTTCTTTTAGCTCACGGCGAGGAAAACAAATCCTCCCTCTCTTCTCCCTCTTTCCTCACCCGAATGTTTCCTTAGTATACCTTACCTTGCAATCCGCGTACCGGCACTCCTCCCTCCTGCAATCCGCTAATGGTAAAGGCATGTATGTATCTTTGACCTCGAATCGACTCGATCTTGCCTGCTTATTTACCTGCTGATCATCTCTTCTACGCCAACGATCAGAACGACGACGATCATCCTGACTACTGACTACCTTTCCCTAGCTACTGCCAACCGGCCTAGTATTCCGATTGATTGTCTACCAACATCTACTACTATACTATTCTCGCTATCCTCCTCACTACTTCTTACTTACCCGCCTGCCTACTACTACTCTCCTGATCGGCCTCACTCCGTCACTTAGTCGACCTCCAAGCAACAAGACTGCTACTTCGTGTCTACCTGTTAGAAAAACCTCGAAAGATTTCGAATCATGAACTTCGACCAGTAAGCCTTTCTTTGCACTCTGTGTTGGTCTCCATCTCCACTTGTCCTGACCAGAACGTCTTATCATCGCAACTCCAGTATTCCTCCGTACTATTTCCAGCCTATGTATCCTAAGATGCTCGAGAGGTCTACTTGTGATTGTGCCTAAACCTGTTTATATTTGTTTTCCTTTTGCCCTTGACTTGCCCTGTCTCCCCTCTTTCCCTCCCTTTCTCTGTCTAGTTTTCACTTCCCCTTTCTTTCTTTTATTCTCGTCTCGTGTTGCTCTCCTTCTTACTCAGATTCGTGCGCCATCTCCAGGTCCCTCGCTGCCGACCACTTCCACACATGCATGTAACATTTTTGTCGACTCTCCCCTTCACTCCTGACGTCCAGCCTCCCTTCCTGCGGCGCTACTACCATGCCGTATGATGCACTGGTGTCATCGTCACTTTGGTGTAACCAGGCGCTCGCTTCCCTAGACATGACAGGACGATCTACACGGAGCGTTCCTTGAATAGCAGATTTGCTAATCTCCTAAGCGTGTGTACTTACAGATGAATCGACGGAGCGTGATTGGGAGAACTGCATATCCTCAACCATGTCGTAAGTCACCCTTCGTCCTCCCAAGCCCCAGCAAAGCTAGTCTTAGGGCTGCGAAAAAAGGCTCCAGGGTTGCTCTCTGTCCATATATACCTTTGATGAACCACTCCCCAACCCCGGTCATGTGCTTTTCATTCTTGCCTTATGTTTTTGTTTTTCCTATTCACCTGGGGCCTTTGCCTGTCCTTATCTGCTGATTCACAAATCGACTGGCTCTTTCCGTCATTTGTTTTATTATTATTGAGGTCGTTATTTTTTTTTGTTTGTTTTGTTATTATTGCTCAGATTATCCTTACCATTACTTCCATCATCCTCATCTGGCTTCTTTTATACATCAGCCCTGTATCCTCGCTTCTTGCGACTTCCGCGTATTTATTTATTTTTCTTTTTTCCCCTTTCATGTATTAGTCACGGCTCTGACACCGACGCCCTCGGGCTCTTCTAATGACAATAGGTCTCCTCCAACATCGAAACGAATCAAGACCTCCGTCCCCGCCAACGCACCATCCCATCTGTTAGCTCCGCAACAAGTCAATCCCTACTCACGATTGCCTTCATACGAGGGCATTCCTATGCCCCAAACTCAGATTCCTCCGCCGAACCCGCGCAAACGCCGTGCTTCGCCCCAAGCAGGCACCACCGCGGCCATGCCAGCTTCAGGCGCGACCGGAGCTGGAGGCGAGCCCGGTCATGAACAGGGGTCTGGGATACCAGAGCCTACACCGAAGAAAAAAGGAAGAACCAATACTCCTTGGACTGCCGAGGAGGAACAGCGGTTGAAGACTATGCGCGATGCTGGCCGCAGCTGGAGTGAAATTGCCAAGGTGCACCAGTCGGTTCTGTACCACGTTGAAGCGTGCTAACCTGGCTGCTGTCCGGCTTCGCAGACTTTCCCCACTCGGACCGAGGGAAGTGTCAAGAAGCATTGGTATAAGGTAGGCATCTACCCGAAGCTCGCTCTAGGTCAGAATGAGTTTCTGAGTAATGTGGCAGGACATGCACTACGCTGAATTTGCGGAAGATGAGGTAAGAACATACGGCATCCGTCTTAGCGCCGAATCGATATTAACATGATGGGTTATAGTCCGTAGCGCTTCGCGATGCGATCAAAGAATACGAGGCGAACAAGTGGAAAGTAATCGGGCAGAAAGTTGGAAAGCCGGCCAAGGCGAGTTGTCAAAGTGACCAGCCCCAGCGCAACCGACTGACATTTCCCGATATAGGCCTGTGAACAGTATGCGAAAGAACATTTCAAGGACCTCTAGAGTTTACGAAAGATGACGACGTGATGACAATCTGCATATTCTCACCCACTGGTCGATCTGAGGCATGGTATATGACTTAAGCTGATCTAAGCCTGTGTTTTCATATTCACACACATCAGTTTCTCTTCATAGTATGCAAAGCTCTTGGCGAAGGGTCGTCGGCGTTAGGTTGCGTTTGTTCATTTCTTACTATATTACTTGTCAGTCCCCCATCCTCTCACATTCTCGCGTTCCTTTGCGGCTTCAGTTGTTTCCAGGGCTGTCGTCTCCAATTTTGATGATACACATTGCTGGTGAATTTGAACCCCTGCTGCGTATGTCCTCGGTTACTCTAAATAGACTTCTTTATGGGTCTGGAAACTTAGGTAGAGGGCAAGAGTCGCATAGTAGACGGTAGAGGACAATGTTGATGTGCCTGCATTTGGAAGCTCTGCAGAGCAACCTGCAAATCGCTAGCGAACAAGAATGAAGGTTGCAGACAAACAGCTTACCACATGGGCAGGATGTGATTGGGGGCAATACCCATGAAGAGTTGATGGCCCAGATCTTACAGGTCGGTGAGGGGATTAACCGCATAACATGCACCTGTATTCGTATAGTATACATAGTTGGTAGGTAAGTAGAGGGAGCGGCGTACTACCCGGTCACTAAATACGAGTATAACGCACGGGTAGGAAATGTCATCCGAAATCGGGGGGCGGCGGCGGGCAAGTCCGCGGGAAATCCGCGGCCACAAACCCACCCACCTATGAAGAGACTATGACTCGATCCAGACCCCGCCGCCGCCGTTAAAATCTATCTGGGGGTTTTCACTGTACCCGCTCCACCTTTCGCTCACACTGCAATCATTGACAACACTGGGTTCTCTCCTCTCTATTTCTCTCTCTCAACTCTCAGGCATTTTTCGCCTTATAGTACAAGCCATTGCCAGTGTGCATTGCGCATTCGTCAGTGTTAAGTGCTCAGGTTAGTAGAGAATCGTCCATTGCATTCAACCAAGTCCCTTTTTCTTTGGTTGTCTATTCTCCTCCCAAAAATAATGGTTTGCCACAAAACTCTGTTAAAATCAGTATGACTGACGCACAATTGAGATCGTGTTGAACCAGGTCTGGTCGCCACAGTCTTCCCCCCCCCATCGCAATCACAACGTCCCCGTGCATACAGGCCTCCCGTCTTCTCGCAGAACCATATGCAAGGGACGGCTATCATGAAGACGAGTAGCGTGGTTTTGTCTGTCGATCAAGGTATCTAAGTAATCTGCCTGCATGAAGACCGGTGTTCGACAACTGTACGTTACGCAGACTATCTGGGGCGCTCGCTCTCTGTCGGTGTGGGCAAGGGTTAGTTACTACATCTGCTAGCGAGCGAGGGCCCCAGAAAAGGTGTGATTACTACGTTGTTCGTTCTGAGATTATACGGTTGAACTTGATCTGGATAATTCCAGCGAAAGGACTCATGCGCGCTTCTCGCTATTATCAATCCCGCTTCTTTGGACAGGTTTGTACTGACCAACCGCAACAGCATGTCTTCCGAACAACCAGTCGCCGCCATGAGGCGTTCCTCTGAAAAGGACATCGCCAACGTCCAGTCGGGTTATGATACCTCTCGTCCTATGGACAATGGCGAAGAAAATATCAATCGGATGGCGCGTGCGCCGACGCGCTTGACCTCCTATATCAAGAGATTCGAGCAGCAATTGGTCGAGTACAACTTCGAGGCTCGCGGTATCGAACGCGTGCCGGAGAATGAGCGGATGACCAAGTTGACCTGGGTTGCGTACCTGCAGTCGTTTTTGCTCTGGGTCTCTATCAATCTAGCAGCCAACAATATCACTCTCGGTATGCTGGGCCCTGCTACCTATGGTCTGAGCTTCCGCGATACGGCGCTTTGCGCCGTTTTCGGGGCTTTGCTTGGTAGCATTCCCGCGGCATGGATGGCTACTCGAGGTCCAGTATCTGGTATTCGGACTATGGTGAGTGAAAGATGAAGCATTTGCTCTAGCGTGTCCGCTAATTTCCACGTCCTTAGGCATTCGGACGCTACTCTATGGGCTGGTGGCCTAGCAAGCTGATCGTCATCTTGAATCTGATTCAAATGCTTGGTTACTGTCTGATCGACTCGGTGGTGGGCGGCCAAATCTTATCTGCTATGTCACCGCATGGAAACATGTCGGTAGCTGTGGGTACGTTTGTCCCTTTCTCAGTCGCTTGAGGTAATCATATTAACAATCTGGAAGGTATCGTGATTATCGCTATCATCACCTGGGTTATCGCTACGTTTGGCATTCAAGTCTTTCATTATTACGAACGGTGCGCTACGGTTTACCTTGCTTTATTCAACCTGACGCTGACTTGCTTTTAGCTTTGCGTTTCTTCCTCAGCTCGTGGTCGTCTCCATACTGTTTGGCGTCTCCGCAAAACATTTCGACCTTTCGGCCTCATCCACCGGGGATGCTCGCACAATTGCTGGAAACAGGTAAGCTCTTCGATACTTGGTCCCTTTTTCAATGTTGACCATTCGCAATCTAGATTGTCGTTCTTCTCCCTCTGTGTTAGTTCCGCAATAACTTACACGCCACTTGCAGCGGACTTCTTTGTCTACTACCCTCAGAATACCTCCAAATGGGCCCTTTCCTCTCTATCTCTGGCGGGGCTGATATGTTCGTTCACCATGGCGATCATTTGCGGTGCTGGCCTCGGATCAGGTGTCGCCAACTATGCGAAATATAGCGAAGCATATTCCGTCGGTGCGGGAGCACTCATTGTTGAAGGCTTTAGCCCGCTGGGTGGGTTCGGCAAATTCTGCTCGGTGGTTGTCGCGCTGGGTTTGATCGCCAACACCGTGGCTCCTTCCTACTCGGCTGGAGTTGATTTTCAGATTCTCGGACGTTATGCGGAAAAGGTTCCACGAGTGCTCTGGAACACCTTTGGAGCAGTGATCTTCACTGTATGCGCCTTGGCCGGCCGGAGCAACCTCTCTGATATCTTCACCAACTTCCTGGCTCTAATGGGCTATTGGGTGGTCATGTGGGTGGTCATCATTCTAGAAGAACAGCTCATCTTCCGGTTCCGTAGCGGGTACAATTGGTACGCTTGGAACGATCCGTCTAAGCTGCCCGTTGGCATCGCCGCTTTGATCGCCTTTCTGGTTGGCTGGGCCGGTGCGATTCTGTGCATGGCACAGGTGTGGTATATCGGACCCATCGCGCGCTTGGTGGGCGAGTATGGTGCTGATGTAAGTTCTTTCTGGGTCTTGCTTGCCGTATTCCCCCACTGACGTATGAACTAGATGGGCCTCTATGTCGCGTTCTCTTGGACAGGCCTGGTGTATCCTCCTCTTCGGTACCTCGAGCGGCGTTACTTCGGCCGGTGATCTGATGAAATACTTTGAACACCGAATTGTCTTTGCGAGTGCTGAGTTGGAGCTGGGTTGAAGTGTAACTGCTTTGGATGCGAGTTAGGTTAGTCGAAGGGGTCGTCGTGGTGATATAAGACGAGCCATAAAAGTTATATATTATTGTATAATATGATGTTTGTCATGATACGCGTGGTATTGGGGGGGGGGCACGGACTTCATTGTCGTTAAAGCTATAACAAATAGCGTATATTGCTCATTTCGAGGCATATAATATTGATTGCCTTTGTCATAAGAAGCCACTATTCCGGATCGAGATGCTCAAAACATTGACAATAGACGTACAGTACTTAGCATTGAAGAGCCGCATGATAAGTACTCCGCATATATGACAATTCCAACGAGTGCAACCCGAAGCACAAAATCCCCTGCCAACGCCACATCGCATATTCCCAACCAACCTCATACCGATTCATGCAACCCAATGACCTTCGTCGATCTAGAATCCCAGCTTCGGCCGCCGATACGAGTCCAAGGTCAGGAGTGTGCGTGGGACGCTGACCAATCCCTTGTCAAGCTCAATCTGCCCTGCCAGTAACTGTCAATCAAATCATAGTAAATCACCGAACAATCTCCTGCACTACGGAATACATAGAGATTAGTGACCCAAAGGATGATCACCATCTTCCCTGATCTGATGGCGGAATGAACCGCCATCCACACCCATCCCATCACAATCGGCAGTTCCACCTCCCCCCGGGGCCCTGTCTGGGAAAAACCCCCGCGACGCACGCTAAACCCACGCCAAGCTAAGATAAACAAATGAAAACAAAAAAAAAATCAGAAATAAGAATACGTATGATCACCTCACATCTTTTTAGTCCACTCCCAGCAGTCCAGAAGGTAAGATTAATCTACTCTCACATATAAAATCATGATCAGGTGGTTATCTTACAACAACCACGGAGTAGAAAACGAATCAAACCAGATCCCGAGTCTCTTGCCTATTCGGGAAGAGCACACTTCCCTCAGCTCAGCTCCAGGCTCAGCTCCCCGCCGTAAGCATCCGGTCCACCACTGCATCCGGGCCATCATTCATTATTAGATGTATCTGACATGCTGGACAGAAAAGGTAGTCTACCCGAACAACCTACCTGGCTGGCTATAGTACATCCTAGAGATTGAGAATAACAACACAACACGAAAAGAAAACTTACCTACTTCTTGCTTTGATGTAACAGGATGAACCAATGTAAAATCACAGGCTTACCTACTGGTGGCAGGGATAAGGATGGTTGTAGTTATGCCACCTGGTACTCCGGAGTGTAGGGTGCAGTACAGTACTTCGGGCAAATGACCGTGACAGGTTTCCCGCGAGCAGCCGGCCCGCCGGTCCGGGGACAAGGACCAGGACAAGGGCAAGGATAAGGTCAAGGGCAAGGATAAGGAAGCAGCTGAACCGTTGGACTACTAGGCAGCTGTACGGGTACGGGCGGACTGGAGGACATCATGCCACACAGTACGCATCTCATCCTCCGCGGCTTGACCGCCCCGATGCACACCCCGGGGGACACCCACCATTCATTCCCTCCTGGCCAAGCTTGCTACGACTTGGTAGAAACTGAGATGAGGTATCCTTTCTTTTTTCCACTTTGTGCGATTATAGACAAAGGGGGTTTTTTATTCTTGCGATTGATATATCGAGGTTGAGTCTTGTTGCTGGTTTTCTCTTTTCTTGCCAAAACGGGATGGATGGGTATAATCTCTACCTACTGTTGTAGTCGACTCAGCTAGGGCTCTAATTGTGTAGGGCAACAGCATTCATCTATACCTCATGAGGTGGATGTATCATTTTCGGTGATATGCTCCAGCTCCAGCTCAAGCTAGGGTCAATGACATCAATGATCAGTGTGACATCTCGGATAGCGTATACTACTCCACAGATATAACCAGACCAAAAACCGACCTCCCTCCTCGACAACAGTCTAGGGCTCGGAAGGGTTTAGTCCCGGAAGGCATAATTCTCTTTTATAGCCAGCGGAGCAAACCATCCTCTAATCTGACAACAGCTCCAACTTATCTACAGGCATACAAGGTAGACGAAAACCAGAAGTCTTGAAATCAACACAACAACAATACAGACGAAGACCCAGCAGAAAGAGATAGATAAGTGCACAAGGGGTCAAACCACAAATACAGAGGTAGACAGGTCGGGCCGAGAAAGAAGAACGAGAACGAGAGGGGAGAAAGAGGACAAGACACCTATCGAGTATGTCGGGGGGAAAAGTAGAAGAAAAAAGTAAAAAAGCCACATGGGTTTTCTCATACACAGCATTCCTCAAAAAATATTAAAGAAAACAAAACGACCAATTGCAAGCTCCATCCGGACGCTTTCCTGTGACATCTCTCTCGTCTTTCCCGAACGACCCTCTTAAGCTCTCCTCTCTCGATTTCCGCTCTTCCTTTCCGTCCCTGCCCTGTCTTTGTACACGTACAGTTGTCCTTTTATCGAACCCATTTGCAAAGAGCCCATTCCCACGTTACTGGGAATGGATCAAGATAAAAGACAATCGCTCCATTGCGGAAGTGTCATATATTTACCGGTACCAGTACTCAGGCTTGACGTAGTCGGCGAAGGTCTTGGGCTCCTCATAGGGAGGGTGGCCGTGGTGGTCGTGGCCGTGGTGGTCGTCTGGCCGCGAGGGACATTTGTTAGCAAGTGTGCCCAACCGATGATGTAATGTCACTATAACTTACGGGCGTGGGGGTCCTCCTCAGGACCAACGTAGTTCAGCTTGACGACGTTGCCGCACTCGCCGCAGCGCTCGATAGGGCGGTCACGGGAAACCTAGCCAGTCAGTATCCGAGCAAGGTCCAATGAATTAAGTCGGGATTCAGCAAAAGCTTACGGTGAGCCAGTTAACCTGGTGAGAGTCGGCGGGGAAACCAGTGCAACCAGCGTACTGCTCATCACCGGCACCGTTGACGATGATGGGGTTCTCAAGAGTTCCTGCAGTTCACTTATGTCAGGAACTCGAAACGATTATCGATTACATCCACAGCCGGCAGCACGTCCGGTGGACATAAATCCCGCGGCCAGAAATTCGACGTACCCTTGCGGGAGGCATCCAGAGGTCTCATGTCGAAGATGTCGATGCCCTGCATCTTTCCGGTAAGTTCGAGACGCTCGAGACCGGTGGCATGCTCGATGTCGGTGGGAATGGTACCAGGCTTGGCACCAGGGGGGACAAGGTCTTCCTCGGTCTTGATCTCTGTGGGACAGGAAAAGCGCACAATTAGCATCAGATCCGGAAAAACATCATACGATCCGTAGAACCCAAATGCCTGCAGCGCGGAAGCTCGACAGTTGCCCTCACCCCTTCAATTGCACCTGCCGCTCGCGGAAGAAGCACAGGGAAGGTGGTGCAAGTGAAGCAGGCTCGAACAATTGACGTCTGCGCGACAATGAGGGTGTGCGGGTACCTACCCTCGAAAGACAGGATCTTGCCCTCCTTGCTGACCTGCCACTTCTTGGCCTGGTCGACTAGAAGTGAAAAGCCAATGTCAGTGCATGTACCAATACCGAGAATGCATTATGATATAGAATTGACCGATGTCGGCGCCATGGGAGCACACAGACACAGGTCGATGGTCTCTGGGGTGGGCTGAAAAGGCGGTCTTGGTCTGACTCTGAGGGTCGACTCTGAGGGTCACGTACAGCGGGTAACAGAGGAGGAGAAGGGGCGAGCAGCAATGGCCCGGGTGGGAGTGCGCCTGGCGAGGGCGAAGGCTGTGCGTTGAAGGAACATTGTCCTGGTGGATAGTGATGCAATGACGGCAGACAAGGCGAGACGTTTGGAGGAGAGGGAGTTTGGAGGTTGAGGTGAGTTTGAAGCCGCTTCGGCCCGTGGTCGTATGGTCTTAGTCAGCCGTGTGGGATGATTGGTTGCGGAGCTACAACGGCCGGCCGCAGAAGCCACTTGAGCAGATGAGCTTCATCGGGACATGGACTCAGGGCTTAGGGCTGCATGGCTTGCGCGGAGGGTCTCTTTGCGTCAACGTAGTGCCTAGCCTCACTGCCTGACGAATATGGCCGCTGCCACGAGACGAGCCACTGCTTTAGTGAGCATTAGCGCCTGCAAAGTGAGACCGGCGCAGGGCCCCTCATTCTGCAGCAGAATCGACTTATCATACACTATCAATCTACTCCGTACCGTACATTGACCCCCCTCTGGTGTCAGATCACGCCATGAACCTCACAACCGGTTCCTACGTATCTGCACATCGAGGAAGAACGTGACAAATGAACGCATTATTTGAGACATTAGACAGAGTAATGGGACGTAGTAAGATTATATTCAAATGACAGTCATTGAAGTTGCGTCGCTTTCTCGCGACAAGCGGCTGGTGTGAAGCCATTGCCAACCTTCCCTGCGATGATACGCCACCGATCGTTCTCGTATTCTTGAAGGGCACGTTGCAGTCTTTGGACCTGTTTTGATTTGTCTTAGCCACCACTTCACATACGCAGAAGTGTATCCTTGCATAAGAAGAGACCTACCATTTCATCGCTCCAGGTGACGTCCTTCGCTTTCAACTTGGTGCAGTATCGAACCTGTAAGGTACCACTCGTCCGGCCTGGAAAGAAGTCCGCAATTTGCTTCCAAGTTAGGTTTTTGTTTTCTTTTAATTCCACTAATAGAGCATCTTCCTCGGGTGTGAACTTGAGTTTTGGGCCTCGAGGCCGGGGAGCCGGTTCAGGCATCCCGGGCTGGCCTACAACACTCGGAGGACCCGACGGCATAGGCGAGGCTTCCACATTCATACCATGGCGCCCAGGGGTCCGTAGTGCCGCATGGGGCGGGAGGCGATGGTGGTGGTGGTGTTGCGGCAGCCCAACTGACTCTGCGTGCCCAAAGCCGTGCCCTGGCATCGGAGGCTGTTGGGAAGGTGCCCCGTGGACAGAGAAGAGCATCTCCGGCGAGTGACCATGCTCGGCCGGCCCGTCTGCGGGCAGGACCGGTAATTGAGGTCTAAGACCATGGTCTGTTTCATCCCCTTCTGTCTCTGAATGAGGCCGTTTCTTGCCACGGTGGAGTGGAGGGATTTCGAAGCTGGGTGGGGGATACTGGACGGGAAGTTGCCGTGGGAGCATCGGCGTATGGCCAAGGACAACGGTTTGTGGCATATCGTGCACTGATGGCTGAGGGGTCGCCGTTGGAAGGACGGTCGCGCTCGCATGATGCTGTGAAAATGCTGCGCTGCTGTGAGAATGCGGTTGCGAGAAGGGGGGTTCGGCCTGTTTGTGATGGTGGAGGTGCGGTTGTGGCGTGTGATAAACAAGCGTGCTTTCCTGTTGCTCGGGCTTGCAGGTGGCATGTTGAGAGTACTCAATCGCATAGTCACGATACGGATCCGCCAGAGTAGCGGACATACATCTGCGCCGCTAGAGCTTGAAAGCCCTGGCAGGCTGCTCAACGCGGCTTAGAAAATGGTAAGAGGTGAGTTCGAGGGAGTCGGTCCCAGTACAAGAGGCCTTTCGCTGGTAGGACGGAGTTTGGATTCGAGAATAAACCAGTGATAAAAAGACGAAGTCGACAGTGGGTTGAGCATCAGCCAATATCCCTCGTCATCTAAAGTCTCGCAAGCTGAGATCGCAGTCTCGTCACAACAGAATCGCGTTGTTCAAAGCAGTTTTCCAGTACTAGTCGACGTTAGGGAAAGGCAGAATAAACGGACTGACGTGACCGAAGCGCCAAGTCAAAGAACTTGTTCATCCCACGGGAAATGGATGGAAGTAAAGAGGCCTCATCGAAAGCAACCGAACGCATTTGTAGGGAAAAGCGGGACACTTGAAGGCGACGCACGGTCTGGCCAACATGAGGAGAAAGAACCAAACCAGTGGCAGGGTAAACATGATGGATATATAAGCGATAACGCACTCACCTAGATCAAGAAAACGTTGAAGACCAAGTTGTTCGGAAATTGCCAGTAACCCTGCATCCGTCTGCTGCACCTCAAATTTGGTTCCGACTCAACCGAATCTATAGAGTCAAGCCACAGGCCTCTATAATGGGAAGCAAACGGTCAAGACAGCCAAGATTTAAAAACGTCAAGCCCCGTCACTGGAGATGCAGAAACAGATGGGGGAGAGACAAGTGGAGGCGATGCCGGGATACTTCTTCCAGCTGCATGTAAAAGTCCCGTGCAGTGACTCGACTTATTCTAGGATATATAGGCCAGTTCAGCCAGAATGGGCGGTAGTTGTAAGGTTCTGAAAAGGGAAAAAAGTAATAAATAAGAGGGTACTGGGGGATTTTCGACGAGACACGGAGATACTCCATACAGCCCGAATACAAAATGGTGCAGGTGGGCTGGGAAAATAAATCCCCCATTTGACGGACGGATCGGCATTCCAGTCAAGCTTAGTTTGCAGAGGGGCCCAGTGTCAACAACGGCCATAGCTAGCAGAGCCAGCGATGTCGAAGGATGAGGCTACGATTTGCCTTCCGCCGGCCCGTCTGGTGGTTGCCAAGGCATGGCAGACAGTCGTGGAGAAGGAAATTAGAGTCAACTGCCGGGAGATACTGTACAAGTATGAAACACTAAGATAGACAAAGAGTCTAAGAGGTTTCCTGTATGGGTTATCGGCGCCCAGCTTGCTTCTGGCGGCGTTTGGACATCCTTCTGGATGATTGATCAGCTAGAAGCGGGGAGATCCAAGCCCAATCCATACGTAGGCCTAACATAATCTTAAGTTAACTTATTGGATACGAACGTGGGTTGAGTGACCTCTGGGCTCTGTGGATTCGGGTTAAGGGAGTCAAACCTGTTGCTGGCGTGCTCCTAACTCGCTCAGGGAATTTGCCCCCTGTCAGAGCAAGGCCCATCGTAGGTCGTCGCAGCAACTCCACCCAGTGAAACGCCAATAGCGGAGGAGGAATGAGAGCAGTCGTCGTGCGAGACATCCACCTGAACAGGGTGAGTTGAACCACTAGCTGGAGAAGGGCTAGTTTGTTGTTTAGTGGGCCATCATCATGACCAGGCAGGTGAGTTCCGGCCGAGCCTTCTCATGAGGGATGGTGGAGTCTCTGAGAGTACTCTGAGTATATAATCCCGAAAAAGGTTTTGGGGGGGCCCTTTTGGGGGCAGGAGGCGCGGGAACTCAACCACCGCCTAACCCACACCCACTCGATAGATAGATAGGTTGATAGATAGATATGTTGAGAAGGATACAGCAACCTTCGGGATATGGTCTGCAAGCATCGTGCCGCCCGCACAAAAAAAAGTGGCTGGTTAGCTTCGAGGTCCAACCGTTTGTCCACGTCTATTTTCCCCTTTTTCTGTTCCTCTGACTGGTCTCTCAGGGAATCTTTCGCTCTGAGTCCTTGCGCCGGGAGGTCACTATACAGGGTGACCATGATAAACCATCTCTCCCCTGGCTTTTGCTACTCCGTACTGAGTACACAGTGACCCCATCAACAATGGAAAGGCCGGACTGACCCTTCTCGTGAGAGCGTCTGTCAACCTTATTTGCTCGTGTCTGTTAGATTACCCTGGCGGACGAGCCCCGACAACGGTCGGAGGCCGAGAGCTTAGCGCGTGGGTGTCATGATTGTCTATGCCCGCGAGTGATGTGGGCGCACGAGGGGGGAGGGGGGGAGGGGGGCAATGGAGGCCTAGAGCTGATGGCCACCGATGATTTGTTGCGGGCGGTTTTAAGCCCGCTCTATTGCCTACTTAGTCAATGAGCACGGCTGTCATGAATCATGTCCACGGGTAGAGCAACGGAGCTTATACACAACACGTAAGACCCCTCCAGAGCCTGGCGTTGAAGTAGCCTTAACTGGGCGTAGGCTCCGGACTCCGGGCTGGTCTCGGAGTCGGACTTGGTGGGACCTGTGCCCATTGCATCTTGCAGGCGTACAGGCTTGCGGCACAAGGCAAGCTCTTCCGACAGGCGTGTTTTGACTTTATTTCCACCCCCGGAGGGCTTGAGCTCTTGAAGCAGTGGTGAAACAGAACGCAATGATTAGATTTCATCGAACCACTGGAGGGAGATTGAGAACGGAGCGGAGGAGCTTGGTTTCAAACGTAGAACAGACCAGTGCTGTCCATTATTCTTTTTTAGAACTAAAGATAGCACGAAGTTCACGAACGGTGATGACTCGGACGTGAGCGGGAATACGGGCAACGGGCGGTTGTTTTGAAGCCACGAACTAGGGGCAGGCACTGTTTGAGAGCTAGCTGGAGCCGCTGTTGCTGGAGAAGGAGAGAGAAGAAAAGCAAGGACTGATTCAAATCAGAGTCAAGTGAATGTGGGTTTTCGGGGCACTTTTTCCACTCTGCTATGGTGGGCACAGCAGGGCAACAAAAAGATGAAGGAGTAGAAAAAGAAAAGGTCCACGGTGGGAGAAAAAAAATATTCTGTACGGTAGTTACACCAGAAAAGGCAGGAAGGGAAAGCAGTGAGTTGAGGCAGAACAATCAGGCAAATAATCAAAACACACAGACAATCCACGATCGGCTCTGTACCAACAAACAATAATAAAGTAAGTAACAATAACCATAAGCATAACAATAATCAACAAACTACGAGTCAAATTGAAACAAGCAACACAATCAAATTCTTCTCCGGTCCTTCGAGGCACGTTCGTTTTGGTTCGTGTCAGCCTTCGAGTCGAGGTTTGCTGATCAACCCACACTTGTGCAACCAGTCAATCCACCTTAAATTCATTTCTGCAATCTGCATGGCCTCACTGAGTTAAGCAACTACCACGACAAACCTACTTAAGTGGACTCACACATGGTCCCGATATTAAAAAAACGGATCATTCTCCGAAGATGATTGACGGTAAGTTTCCAGCCCACACCCACATGGTCGATCCCCTAGGACCAAAACACCGTTAGTGTAACAGCACTTTGGCACTTTGGGACTTGAGCATTACACAGGGCCAAGATCCAGTTCTTCAAGATTAACCAATGGTCGTCGGATTCAATTAGCATCTAAGACACCAGGTAGGCTACATACGAATATGGTACAGCAATACAAGTGAAACCCCCTGATTGAATCACCATCACACCCCCCCCCCTCATTTTCGATCCCAGATGCCAACCAATAATCGCTGTAACAACACATGAGGGGAAATAATTTTTCTGCTGGAATGAAGACAAATCGGGAGAAGAGAAGGATTAAGGAGAAGGGGGAAAGAAAAAAGAAAAAAAGAAAAAAAAGGAAAAATCAAGGCTAGCTACATAGACAAGAATATGAAACCCATGAGAAGAGGAACGTGACATGAAATCATCCAACGCCGCCGAAAGTCATCAATCACGCAAAGTTATCCGAACGATCAACCCAGATATCTTCCAGCTCAGCGAAGTTCTGGAAGTGAAGTGGGCGGTGCTGGTCGTCGTAGAATTTCAGGGGCGTGTCGATCTTAACATACACTGGCCGCTTCTCCACACTACCGAAGGAGCTTCCCATGAAGCTATAGTTCCAGACATTATCCTCCGGAACAAGGAAGTACCCACGGATCTTGTCACTGAGCAGAAGCTGGCACTTCTCGCCCATGCTAGTCGAGAACCCCTGGGGTTGATCCGATGTCATATCCCGGTTCTCAGCACCCCACTTGTAGCCCTGGGGAGTGAGTCCCCACGCGGCAAGCGAAACCGATCCAGGGGTGAAAGAAACAGTCATCGTGACCGTCTTCTTGTCCCAGGAAGAATGGGCGTTCATCAAGCGAGCGTGCTGCGTCACATCCGCGGCCGTCATATAGTGTGGCTCGTTTCCGGAAATAGTATGGATCACACCAAGAGGTTCGAGGTTGTTCAAGTAGTCATGCTGGGGTAGTTGCTGGGGCAATTGAACCTCACGCGTGTTACCAACCTGAGGAACCATGACGATCGTGCGAATCTCCTTGACTTGATCGTTGTCGGGTGGCGAGCTACCGTAAAGGAAACCGGCAACTTGCACACGTAGATCAGCAATGGTGATGAATCGCTTAAGGACATTCTTAGGCATGATGTAGGTGTAACCCTCATCCCTAACCTCGTCGGAGGAGATATAGATGTTGTTCGACCTAGTCCGCAAGTTGGAGGTCGCGATAGCACGGGTGCGCCACTCGGTCTTTGAAGCAAACGATTGCTGTTCATACTGCGACGTGGTGGTAACAATGATGTCCTCACCCCGAACGTTCTGCGTCTTCGTAGTGACAGCCGTAAGCTGCTTCTGCTCTTCCTGCTGCTTCTCGATCTCTGCAGCTTGCTGGCGCTGGAGTGACGGTGCACTGATCTCCATACCCAAGATAATGTCACGAACTTCACTGCTCGTCAAGCTCTGAACATTGACATTGTTCTTCTTGCCATAGTCATTGAGGATGAGATCGCGGAGCTGCACTTCAACCTTCATCCAGTCCTCGTCGGACAACGTGGGCCAGATGTGATGCTCTTGGGTGATGACACTCTTATCAGGTCTGAGAATGATCTTGGCCTTATCGATGTTCACGTGGAGGGCGCGCAAAATCAGAATTAGACGAGAGAAGGCAATGTAAGGGGAAATCGACTTCAGCCATTCATCGTACAGGTTGAACAGAACCATCTGAGGCTCAGTCGCCCGAAGAATCATATCAGCGAGCTTCTCGACCTTCATCGCAGCCTGGAAAGGCAACTGCAGTTCCGAAGCACGGATAGAGATGTTGGGGAAGTCCAGCAAATGCACCTCCAAAGGATCCAGAAGACCCTTACGAGTGACAATGAGCTGCTTAGGCTGCTCTTCAACAGGCAGAGACCGGATGAGCGCTGCAACTTCTTCGGCTGTCTTCCACTTCGCCAATTGACCGAGACGCTTCTGACCCGCCCAAACGCTGGTGTGGATAATCTTCAAGAACAGTTGTCCAGTGCGAGGGTTGAAAATGAAGATAGCACCGTTGATAGGCTTCGTCGTAAGGTTACCTTCGAAGGTCTTGTGGATGGTCACACGGTAGACGTTGGTATCATCGATGAAAAGCTGGATTTGTGGACTGAAGAGCTCAGAGTAATTCTGAGAGTTGAGGAACTCCTGGTTGCTTTCCGAAGCATACAGCTGCAGACCCTTCCGGATACGCTCTCGCAACACATACAATGCCGGGTTGGCCTTCATGACCTTCGCCATGGCTTGTTGGATCAGAGTCTTCAAACCAGGGAAGTACTGCCCATAAGCGGAGTAGAGGTTGTATGCGAGATCGATGGCAATCATCAACCCCGTTGCGGAAGGATAGATACTCATGCTGTCAGTAGTGTAGTCCAGGTACTTAGCACGAACGTATCTCTCGATATCGTGAGAGTCGTAGTCACCGTATCTGAGCTGGACATCAAGCCAGAACTTGTTGGTAGTGGTCGGCTCATACACATCCTTGGTATCGAATAGCAGGGAAGGACGGGTGACATTCCACTTGTTCGTTGCGAAAAGCAGGATATCCGCACAAGAACTGTTCATCTTGTAGGACTTACGAGGGTGAATAGTCTCCTTCTGCACAGTCTCAATACCAAGCTGCTCAAGCTCCTGGTCGAAAACTTGACACAGATCCATGACAACAGACTCATGGATTTTCTGCCACAAGTGCGCACGGAAGATCTGGATCAAAGAGATCTTGAGTGTAGGGATCTTTCCGTGCAAGAAAATACCCGTAAGATCTAGTTGCACCTGGAAACCCACGTACACATTGGCACGGTTGATGGTCGGAGACCACCACAAAGTGAACCGACGGTTAGGAATCTGATTCAAACCAGATCTTTGGGCATTCGTGAGCTTCTTAAACTTCATCGATTCCTCGAAGCCACTGGCGCGTTCCCAGAACAGACCCTCCCAAGAGGGGAAAGCCGTGGCCTTGAAGAGCGTGTGCTCCAGGATTGTCTCGACACCACCCAGCGCTTGGATGACGTCGGTACGGTAGGCGTTGAGGTTCCACAGTTTACCATCGTGACGCTGGCTGGTCCACCAGAACGGATTGCTCTTCATCAACTGGTACTGCTTGAACTCCGCACGGAGACGGAAGCCCTTGTCGAAACTGAGGGTGCTGCGGTCCTTCTGGAACAGGGTGTTGATACGGGGCAGACCGCGGTCCCAGCTGTCCTCCAAGTCCTCCAACGTCAAGCGGCGGTTCTGCTGCTGCGCCTCCTGACGTTTCTGAGAGTATTCCATCCACACCCGCTGCGAGTCGATGAACTCGGCCTCCCAAGGGATGATGTACCGGAAGATGTTGGGGATCAGCGTCTCCTCGTCGTGAGACATACCCGCGCGGAAGTGGGTGATGCCGGTGTCCGTCTGCTTGGACCAACGCTTGTCACTGGCGGGGATGAGGATGTGCGAGCCCGAGATCATACCCAGACCTCCCAATTCCTTCGGGGTATAGAACACGGCGGGAGGGAAACGCGAAGGCATTTTGGAGTTCAATCCGATCTTGACACGAGTCTGAATCTTGGTTTCACACTTCACGATCGTGTCCAAAAGGTTGACAGTGGACACCGCAGCTTCACGGTAGTAGGTGAAGAGGGCGATCAAGGCAGTGTTCCACTTGTTGGCGATCTTGGTGAAGGTCGTTGATCCAGACGACATCAGAATCTGCCGAATGCGGTTGTTGAACTTCTGGATGTCCTCCTCCGTTACCTGCAGGAAAGCATGCGCAGTGCGCTCCTTGGTCGAGTTGTCGACCAGGGACCACACGCTATCCTTCACGGAAAACTCCTCGTTCTGGTTGCGGCACTTCGGGAGGATGCGAACCTCGAACCCGCTCATGGAGAATAAGAGGTTAGGGTTGTCCTTGCTGTATACACTGGCGAAAGTATCATCCCATTCGATGGTGGTGATCGACCGGGGCAGGCGGTTCTTCAGATCCCAGAAAACAGCACGACCCAGGTTGACATCGTGTCGCATCAAACGCATCCGGCAATCGCGTGGCCAGCACTTCTTGTTCTTGTAACCGATTACGTTCTCGAAATTGGGATCTGGGTTCTCAGTCAAGAAACGTTGAATCAGATCTCTAGACTCGTCCGCAGAGAATCTAAGGAAGACCCAAATCTTGTCCACATAGCGAGTGTAAAGACGGATGGGGTGTCTGGTTTCAGTTGCACGGTCTCTGAATTGCAGGAAGTCGTTAGGGCTCTGAGGGGGGCCAGCCATTTCACTACCTCTCTGCAGGCCAAGGAGCAACAAATCAATCATCAAACCATAGTACTGGAACACGAAGCCAGAGAACTGGAGACCGCGAATCAGACCGTAGCTGTTGGTGTGATTCATGTCCTTGTAACTAAGCTGGACGTTGTTCTTTGAGGTAATGTAGTCGGCCAAATTGTGGTCCATGATCAAACGCAGCATTCTGTTCAACAGAGTAAGATCCATCTTCTCATAGACCTTAGAAAGCTCAGTCTCGATCATGACGTTCGTCTCACCGTCCTCGGTCTCCCAAACATTGGACAAGTTGTTGATTCCTTGCGCCCACTTGTATGTAAGCAGCGGAGGAACTTCCGAGTCCGAAGGCTTGATCCAAGCAGGGAAGAGATGGCGCTGCTCCGCTTGGTACCATAGATACTGGTCAAGGTAGGCGTCGGTGATCTTCTCAATAGGTTCAACATCATACACGGGGTTGATGTGGCTGTAGTTGTCGTTCATATCAATACCAACTTCCTTAAATGCTCTCTGAGTCAGGAGGAAGCGCTTGATACGGGCCAAGGTCGTTCCGGGAGAGTCGTAAGCCTGCTCAATGAGAGCGAGTTCCTCACGCTGACTCTGGTTAAGTCGGCCCTTGACAGAGTAGGCCTCGCGCAGGCGCTCAAGAGCAAGAATCAAGATCTTGGTGTCGTGCTTGTAAGAGACACTAGGGAACGGGATCGGGGAAAACTTGCGGGACTCGAGCCAGTGCACCATTGTCGTGTAAATGGCCACAGCCTCTTCGGATGACACGTAAGGACCATCCTTGAGATAATTGTGCTGTCGCTCCTGCTCTGCCTTGAGCCACAAACGTGTAAGTCGTCCAAGGTTCTTCTTTGCGACCGTCTTGTCGACCGTAGCACCCCGACGGATACGTTCACGGTTATAATGAGCGACAGAAATCCACCAATCAGCCTTGCTCTTGACGTACCGCAGAATGATATTCTCGATAGGAGCTGGGAGACCGGGGACCTTCCAAGGGATGTTACTCTTCCAGCATCGCCATGCTTCCGAGAGATGCTGCAGGACCGTGTTGACCTTGTTTTGCTTAATGCCTTCCGGCATCATGTCCATAAGGTCAGCCATGACAGAAGCACGAAGCTCAAGGTCGAAGTGAGATTCCACACGCTGCTTGGTGACTGTCTTGGCAACACCCTTACTGTGGCGACCCTCGAATTGACGAGACAGCAAGTTTCCGAGCCATCTCTCAAGCAGAGGAATGATACCACGCATGAAGAAGAGCCAAACACGCCACGCCGGAGCCCAGAAACCACATCCAGGACCCTTACCCACGGGTCCGGAGTTGAACCGATAATAGATAAGGTGTTTCAAGTCTTTGCAGGAACGGATCTGGTGCATCAGCTTGTACTTGTAACGGTACATACCAGTCAGCTGTCCGACGTGGTTGAAGGCGTAAAGGATACCATCAGCCAACTGGAAGGCATCGATATTACCCAGGCGGTATTGTACTTGCGCATCGACAATCAGTTTGGTAAGGCGGAGGATTTCTCTCATCAGGTGGAAAGCGTTTCCGAAACGTGACTTCTTTCGCTCCTTGGTCGTCAAGGTCTTGACAGGCTTGAGGTTGAAGTTATAGTCGAGGTGAAGGTAGGTCAGGTTTTTGCGGTGAATCAAGAGGTTGAGCATGTTGAAACCCTGGCGACAAACCTGCAGACCAGCCTCAACCCAGTCGATGGTAGTCTGCTGGAAAAACTTCGTAGACTTCAAGGTTTTAAGCAGATTCTGCTTGTTTTGAGCCTTGGGCTTCTTCTTGTGCAGCTCATTGAGCACATAGGTTTTGAGAAGCTTCTGGTAAGACACGCGGACTTTGACGGGTTGGCCCTGTGGGCAGTGTTCCAGATACCACTGTTTCACCAAAGGAACGTCTTGTGCGCGCACCATCTTGCCAGAGCGCTTGTTGAAGGGGTGAGGAGCCCACCACAGGGCAATAGCGGAGGCCGTGTCTGGAGTGTATAGTTCTTCATCGCCGAAGAAAGGCTCGAAATCGCCAGGGAGTTCGAAGTCGTCCTCATCACCATCTCCGAAAATCTCATCTTCGTGGCTGACGGTGATGTTCTTGGGGGCGACGGACCGGGATGAAATAGGGTTGATTACGGGGTCGAAGTAGAAAGCAGGGAGGTTGGGGTCTTCGGTCCGGACGTAGACGATCTGAGGATGAGAGTACCAAGAGAGCTTGACACTTCTTGGCAGGGTGTTGTACAGGTAGGGGTATGCGACGCGGTATTCCGTTCGGATGGGCGCGCGGAAGATGATTCGGTCAATGGCGTTGAATTCGCTGAAGTCTTCATCGTTGGGATCGATATCCTTGTAAAGTGGTTCGAAGCGAGGGCCACCGGGGATAGCGACGTTCAGCGCCTTGGCCGTGAAGAAGCTGTTCAAGTCGAACATGTGGAAGTAATTCTGGTCGACGACGTCACTCAAGAGCTGATGACTGAGTCGGTAAAGGGTGGCCATCTGTGGAAGAGTTAAGTTCCAGCTCTTATAGCTCGGTCCGTTGACATGAGGCGTATCGAGCAGAGGCCGGTGGTCATAGAACCACTCATAGACAGCTGCATCTTCGGACTCATCCAGCTCCATCTGAATGGGTTCCAACGGTTCCACATCTTCAATGTTCTCCGACCACGACAAAGGGGGTTCCTCGTCATCGAATGGAGGGAAGCGCATTCTCTTGAAGTGTCTCCGGTCACTCTTCTCCCTCCGCATACACACCCACATGGTCGCCCATTGGGCGTGGAACACAGGCTCAATGACGCGGGGGGTCTCGTTCACCAGAGTCAAGCAGCCGTTGACGTGATACAGCACCTTGACCTCTCTGGCAGACTCCCAGGGCATGGGCATGTTCTCCAGCAGCTTCAAGACGGCATGGGGCATGAACTTGAGCGCACCCAGATAGCTACGCTTCTCATTGCTGAACTTCTTTTGCGATACGTCGCCGATGTCTCTCACAATCTTCCGCAGATGCTCCGGGGGCATATCGGCCTTCTGGGTTTCGACAAATCCGCCTTTCCGTTTCTCGCCAAAGCGGTTCCGTTGCGTCCGCAGCCATTCGTTCTTCTTCTGGGCGAACTTTGCGACATTCGGATCGGCCGGCGGTTGATATCCTGGCGGTGGCGGAGCCAGAGGCATCGAGGGCGGCGCCGATGCACCCCAGCCGGGAGGCGGGGGAGGAGGCAGAGACGCCATGATGGATTGGAGGATATGGTTGGAGGTATGTCCCCTCTCTTTCCTGATCCGACGTTGATTGATGCTCGTACACGAGTCGCGTCAATGATCACGTCGAGAGAAGAAAAGGTCCTGGGATTATCGCGTGTTCATCGGTTTAGATGGGGAATGTAGGTCGTGATTGCGTGAGTATCAAACGCGTTGTGAGAAAAAAGGCAATGATGATAATGGGTGTCAACCCCGGAAAGTAAGATAGAACCGCGCCTAGACGATCCCCTTCTCGCCACGGGTGATAGCAAAGCTCCTCACTTCTGGCACCTGGCCTTAGATGAAGCAAGTCTGAAAAGAGGTGGCGGCTCTGCTCGGGCCGGCACTAGTCCGGTTTGGTATTAGCGCAGTCTCGCCAAATCTGCGCTAGCGTGGCCGCCCAGGGCTCCGAGCGAAACCCACACAAATCCAGATTACCTGCGAGAATTCTACGAGGTTAACGACGACAACCCGACGACGCCGCCGCCAACTTCTTGACCACCCCAGCCTCGAGGTACGGACAGACAAAATGGCGAACAACAGATTGCAATACGTGAGTCAGATCGATATCTGGAAGGTAATTTGAAGCAGGATACTAATTTTTGATCTCTTTTGCAGCGCCGCCGGAACCCGTACGTTTAAAATTTCTTTTCCCAGCCCTCACAGTGTTTCCTCATCCCTTTTGGCTCCCACCAGCGTTTTTGTTTCGATCGCTACGATGCAAATCACAAATGTGCTCAGTTTTGTTCTGCGATGAGAGACAATGTGCTGGAGAGAGGGGATTTTCGACTTCCATGCGATTTTCATGACGGACAAGAATATTGATGGATTTTTTTTCTCGTCTACAGGTACAACACGCGGTCCAACCAGGTTCGGATCATCAAGACCCCTGGCGGTGAGCTCCGTTACCTTCACATCAAGAAGAAGGGTACCGCTCCCAAGTGCGGTGACTGTGGCATCAAGCTCCCTGGTGTGAGTAAACCCCAGTGATTCCTGTTCGATCGGAAGTTTTGGGAGGTGAAAGGCGAACGACAATCACGATATCTTCGATCATATGTGACCGCGGGTGCGCTCAATCGACCGGGAAGAAGACTCGCAGACTTCGACAAGAAAATTCTCTTCCTCAACGCCAATTCGAAAGGAAAGAGAATGGAAGGGAGAAAGCAGGCAATGCAAGGAAATCCAGCAAAGCGCAGTTGGCTGATCGTGGCTCCGTCACCACTTCTAGGTCCCCGCCCTCCGCCCCCGCGAGTACGCTCAGATCTCCCGCCCCAAGAAGAACGTCAGCCGTGCCTACGGTGGTTCCCGCTGCGCTGGCTGCGTCAAGGACCGCATCGTCCGCGCTTTCCTGATTGAGGAGCAGAAGATCGTCAAGAAGGTCCTCAAGGAGTCCCAGGAGAAGGCTGCCGGCAAGCGCTAAATGCGTCCCCGACGGTTTTCTTTTGTGTTGTTGTCTTTAATCAAGGAGCGGAACATGGAAAATTTTTAAAATTAGCTGGGAACGGACGGCTAGCGCGGCAGAATAAAGGCCCGTGACTCAATGAATTATATTCATGAATTGAAAATTTTCCTCGCGTCCATGCTGGTTTCCAAGAACTCACGAGATGATTTCTCTTGCGTGTCGACTGTAGAAAAGGATTCCTTCCTGCTGCCTTGCCGGTGTAGCCGGGCTTGACACCCGAAAGCACATGTCTCCGTGACATTTGGGCCTCGTGGCAATCTAAATACTCACCTGCACCTTGCTAGTAAGAAGCACGTCTTAACGTGAAGTACGTACGCATCTAGCTTGTATTCCACCTTATTATCGACGACAAGCTTCTTCAAAGGCTAGTTCAAGATCTAGGCCCTTGTCTTCACGTCGAAAGATTAACGTTCTCGTTGGGGTGATCTCCTGTAATGGAAAAAGGTTCAGCTGTCGCAAAGCTGCCTAGATGCAGCAGTCCAACGTGCCTTGGAAATCCATTTCATACTTGTGGCTTCCCCCATAACCGCAGGCTCAGGCTCAGGTTCAGGCTTCTATGGACACCTGCCGCAATAGGCGAGCCTTTGCGTCATTATCCAGCGAAGGATGGCCAAGGCCCTGTTTTCCTGCAGGGTGAGAGAAACACGCCAAAAACAAGGGCCGAAGGGCTAGGCAAGAGCAGAAACCCAAAGTACTGAACGGTTCCGTTAAGTGTCAAGAATGACTGTCTCGGAAGCAGCAAGAAAAAAATAAAACAAGCCATATCTAGCAAGCATACATCAAGGCTGGAACCTCCAGAGCCCTGCTAGCAAGCATTGGTAGGAGGTGCGCGGCGCGTCTATGACCATACCTCCCACGATCTCCCTTCTACCTCCGCGGAGTCTTTCAGATCACCGCTGTATGGGTAGTTAGGTAGTAGGTATATGAGGTATATTCAATGGCCGATCACAGCTAAGTAGGAAGCATGGATTGGTCCCACGGCTATTTCTCCAGGTCTTTGGTTGACCATGATATGAGTAGATGGCTTGCTTTGTGATACATGAAGTTCCTTTTGTCATTGTTTTTTTTTCTGTAATTTTTTGCTTTTCCTGACACGTTAGTTCTCGTTTTTGCGCATTCTTTTATGGAGGGCTGACCCTGACGCTGCCCGCATACTGGCACCCACTTGGCAAACACAGCAACAGGCTAGGCAAACTCGATTCAATGATTGCGGAGAATGAATGGGATTGTAGGAAATCCCTTTGATGATGTCCCATTGTCACATCTACCGGGCATAAATTAAAAGTCGAGTGTCGATTCTTTGTTCGTCGTCAGCATTCAATGCTCAAATTCCTTTATTTGACGCAATTAATTCCCAGCCATAGCACCCTCCCATCAAACACAGCGATACCATTTCTGTCCATTGGATCGGCCCCCTTGTACATGTCGGCGCACTAGAGGAGGATGTTCTGCAGCTGACAGGCAACTGACAGGCGGGGGTTCCGTCTCGGTTCCGGTGGTGCTGTTCCTTTGCATCATGGACTCGCCCACAGCCGCTGGCCAATTCAGTGTCCAGGCGAGATGGAAGCTGTCAGCTAGCCTGCAGCCTGGGCAATCGCTCCCCCTAGGCATTGCCAGTGATCTTGGTTCTAGAGAGGGACCTAGAACATTCCTCTATTTCGAGGCTGCATAAGCCCGAAAATATGGGCACGTCAAGCGGCGGAAACGAAGGTAAAGAAAATAGGTAACCCCTGTCTAGCACAGCAGGGACTATGATTGGCAATACCGCCATTCTGAGAAGTCAGTATCTTCTTCATCTTTGTAATCGTCAACACTCTCGTCTGTTGGATAACCGTAGTCCAAATCCTGAATGACACTGGGGGGCATCGCTCTCCATCCATGCCTTTCTCTCACCTTTCGCCCACTTCCGATGCTTTATGTTTCTGCATCCTTCCTATGCAGCGGTGAAAGAGCTGATGGAGGTGCAGACTCAGATCTTCAGAGCGACATCTAAGAAGGAAGGAGATAAGCACCTGGGCCACAAGCCAATCTCCCACCGCCACTTGACGGCGTCCATCCTCCGTCAAGCCTGAAGTTGCCCGGTTCAATTTTCTTCTTCGTCCCTCTGAGTCCATGACAGAAGACGCAATCATTGTATGATAGTCGGCGTGCATCGGCAAGCCAATTTCAAGACGCAGCGGTCATTGGTCGGATACAATAGCCTGCTGCGACTAGTGCTGGATCGGAAAGTCAGCATGTTGAGGATAGAATGAATACTGTACCTAGTACTTAGTGACATTCTGTCCTGGTTAATAATTGTCGATTTACCGCTAACCAACTGGATATACGCCACCGATGTGACTTCGACTAAATGTTTTGGATTATTGCTAGCTTCTTTTGGTCAGAGACAAAGGAAACAGGGGGGGTAAGGTGGGGCACGAAATTAGTGATGGGCAATGGGCAAGGAATCCATACCCTAGTGTAGCAAGAAGAGGGGAGCGGGCACTACTGAACTTACTGCTCATTGCATCTCCAGCATGTCGGAGATTGGACCGAGAAACCTCCAAAGCGAAGAAGTAGAAGAAGGCAACCAACCATTCCAAGCTAGCACGGGGTACATTGATGTACGGTCAGTAGTGTGCTGTGCTGACCCCATTTGCCGGCTGCCGCCAGTGTGTGTTAAACTACCAGTACATGCTTATCTTCCCACAAGCACGATGCCACTGTCCAGTTCCATCCAGTAGAGGAGCTGTACTAGTGAGCGGAGACAGGTGACCTGATGACACAGGATGAATCAAGCTGAAGCAGCATGACGAATGTTGAGAGCTGCCCAGGTTGCTCTGCTCAAGAGACTGAGATGTCGTCCGGATCTGTATCACACCACCAGTGGATCGGCAATCTGATGAGATCAGAGTTGTGATATAGGACTCCACATCTCATCAACTCACAGATAATAGGAAAGGTAATCTTGCTGAATGAAAAGAATCAAGAAAGAGTGGGTAGATCGGCAAAGGACCCGTGATCCGAAGTCTTTCGCCACTGCTGTCTTGTCTTGATCTTAACTTTTTACCTTTAGACTAAAACGTGCATCCGCGAGCGAAGGGTTCGCGGTTGGATGCATTCAAATCGTTCGTGTCAAATCTTTGGGGGCATGAATTGCCTTCGGTGTACTCTACGCCCTGTGGCTGGAGGGAAAGAACTACCGAGATTAATTGGAAGCGGGGAATTTCAAGACGACCATTAGCTATGTACTTTTTTTCCAGCCTGTCGGCTTCAAGAATATACCTTCGCTCCCAATTCGAACAAGTCTGGGCCTCTCGTAGCTGAATATTTAAGTATCAGTACGTTGTGCGGTAACAAGACGTTTAGGGCAAAAGTACTAATGAAGCACTTACCCTTCGTGGAAAGAAAAACCAAATCCAAATACAAATACAAAGGAAGAAAACCACCTCGCTCAGCCTAATTTTAGGTAGCGGGAGTTGAGACTTAGAAGTAGGGGTATGTGCAGTATGTACAGTAACTTACTACTTACTGTACAGCATGGACGAAACGCCCTAGTTCGGCTACGGTCAGCTTAGCGTTGGATGCTACCCCAAGATCACCGCGCTATCCTAGAGATAGTAAAAGGTACTTTAGTCCCATCAGAATAATCGGGGAAGTGGTGTAAAGACTTGCATTCTTTTACCAACATGTCGGCACTCGGATGAGACAGAGACAAAGGAAGAAGGCCGAGATTCAGTCCAGTAGCAGGCCTGATGTGAGTGAGTGAGTGAGTGAGTGAGTGAGTTTGTGTGTGTGTGTGTGCAGGTTGGCACATGTAGAGTGTACACATCATGGATGACTCTTGATATATTTCCATAATTCGACCAAGCGAGCCATGGGCAACCCTTCTCGCTTTTTTTGCAATTGCTGATTAGCCAGTCGGGACCATTGCGAAGGGCAACGTTGCCGATACCACCGTCTGCCCATTATGGTGGAGAGTGAAATGCTCAGACGAAATGATCGAACCTTACGATGGCTCCACTATCCGAGAGTCAATAGAGCTAGTCTAGTCAGTAATTTTTAGTTAGTACGTAGCATCTATATCCAGCGTGGTAGGCACATCGCACCCTCCATACTGGTCGCAGCTCGAAAGCTCGCTCCGAAGTCAGTCTTCCGAAGCCTCAAGGATCTTGGGCTTGTCCGAAAAGCAGGATGAAAGAAGATATCCATTGAACGTTGCTCTAACCAAATTGTTTTGGTGTACTCCACCTTGCTTGCGAAAAGATCTCGGAGCGAGCTGTCCCCCGACCATGGCATTTAGTGGCAGTGATCCTTGATGCCTCCGTACACTAATTTTGGCTAAGAAAAGTGGATAAGCAAGTGAAAAGTGTCAGGTTGGGCGTGTGAGTGCCTTAGGTACCCAAGGACGGATCTTTGACACATTGTCAAATCGAGATTAGATACTGCCAGTCCGGCGAAAGCCGGTAAGCCAAATGCTGCTTGCCGTACCGTCCCGTGCTAGCTATATGAGCATCGACAATTCCTTGTAAGAAAGAAAGGCTGAGGTGGAGATTGTTCCTGTTGATTGGCAAGGCAGGAAAGCCGCCCGGTGAAACCCAGATCGGACTATGGCAGCCGAGCACTGGAACTAACGCACGCGTCTCATAGCTCGTCTTTTCCCGGAGACGGCCTTGAAGCTATGAAAGCAACAGTTCTCGTGCAGATCCGTTTGTAGAGGGTGGTGGGGACAGCGGACAAGGGCCGGGCAGATAGCGGTACCTAGGAGTTTGGTGTGGAAGGAGAATGGAAAGGGGAAATGAATTGGTACACTCAACACTACTACTACTACTATTACTACTACTTCGTACTGAGTAGTAGCACCATACCCTCTTGGGCATCCATGGAGAAGATTGATGCTGGAGGGGAGTGGGGATGGGCGAAGAGAGAGTGAGAGAGAGACAGGGAGATAGGTACGGGGTATGAAGGAGAATGAGAAT